TTCAGATCCAAATAAACTACAAGTAACTACAAAATACAAGTTATCATGTTGTTTACAGATATTCAGATCCAAATAAACTACAAGTAATTAAAATGCAAGTTATCACTATCTGTACTCTGACCATCATGGACATAGAAACTCAATACTTGTGTTATAAACCCTCAGACTTACCGGAGTGGGGAACGTTTTGTACACTGTAAGTTAATCAATTATGTTAGTTACTAATCCATAGTTTTCTAAACATATCTTAATTAAATATGACCATGTTCATTCTAATATCTCCCAACAAATACACTCCATTCAGACAAGCTTGTTACATATTCATAAAAACAAATGTTACAGAAGTTTATTTGTAAATCTGGTTTCGATTTTTTTTAACTTTAATCTCATATACTTAATATGATCTTTTTATACACCAATATACATTAACAAGTATCTACCGACTTTGAACCAACAAATGCATGGGTGCAAACCATCTTAATGGCTAGGATCAATTCCTGAACAGAAACCGCATGGCACTACAGATAAAAAGTTTTACATGTAACTGAAGGAATGTTAACCTTTTCATTAACAAATGTTTTAGATTTAATTTTATCTTACAAGTAAATTGTAGTCGAAGTTTAGAGTGTACGTGATTCAAAACCTTTAAACGTGAAACTACTTTAAAACATACATCACATCCCTTGGAGATCATCACCCACAACACCAGTAAACTTTCTGTAATCTTTTCCAAGGCCAGATGATGTGTTGGTATAAAGATGGTTAGAAACAAAGACTCTCGAAGGTTGTCTGAATACGTGATGTCTAATAAGGTGTATACTTTCTGTTAATTCTAGAGAGTAGCTTGAGAGTGATAGGAGAAACAGTTATGCTGTATGATAATGGGTCTAAAGTCAAGTGCTAGTGAGAAGCAAGGTCCCATGGGAGGTGTTGCATGAGAGTACACTCCAAGGACAAGACTTTATGAAGTGAACCCATCATCAGGGTTTCCACACTTTAAGCAGAAATAAGTTCAAGAATAATTCCCTCATTTTTCCAGAATATTCTTACAAGTGTGACAAATTACTTGATGGTTTTTCCAAGAATTTCTAGCATAAAGTTGGCAAATCAATAACTCTAACATTGTATTTAATATTATAAACACCCACCATCATTAATAGGAGTTACCCACATATGGTTAATAGTGGTAGTGTGACTATTATCATCAGAGTTTTAGTACTACTTATTCTATTATATTTTAACCAACAATTTTCTAACCCTCTCATTTTTTGAAAAAGATTCTGATAAGGATTGTGCATATTCATCAAAAGATATTGATACCAGGAAAAGAAATAAATGAATACATTCAACATTGTCAAACTTTTTATGACCAAATAATTTACCAAACATTTAGTGTATGTTAAAACACATCTTGTTCCTGAGATTATTCCAGTGGACAAATGGATTGAGATAATCTGTTTTTTCTTGAAAACAAAAGAGCCAGAAGGAATCTAACTGACTTGTTAAAAATTATTAAGGCAAATAAAGTTGATACAAAGGTTTTTCATTTGTTGAATTCTAAAGTCAGTAGGTTAAGAGGTCAGGTATTTAGGATTTTTAAAGGTCAAACTTCTCTAGTTGGGGCAGTTTTATTTCTCCTGTACAGTGGCAGTCAGGATATTTTTGATGTCCCATTATATATATATATAATATAAACTATATTTCCCCATAGGATCTTATCACCAAAACATTGATATTTACATCTAAGACACCGAGTGTTAATTTATGTAATAAGAAATGTTTTTATAAGATTCAGCAGAAATCCACAGTTTTAAACCCGTAAATAATCTGTTAACTTTTTGACTTGAAAACACTGCACCCAGCTCAAAACCACCAAAGTAACCGTGAGAGTAGTCACACTATAACTTTTGTAATGTACATGTATCTTCCAAAGTAACCGTGAGAGTAGTCACACTATAACTTTTGATAATGTACATGTATCTTCCAAAGTAACCGTGAGAGTAGTCACACTATAACTTTTGATAATGTACATGTATCTTCCAAAGTAACCGTGAGAGTAGTCACACTATAACTTTTGATAATGTACATGTATCTTCAAACTTTTGTACATTATCAGTTAATGATGCAAAGCTTTCGTAAACAAAATATCACTATTTAATTAAGCATTAATATTTTTTAATTCACCCTTTCAGCACAGGTGGTAACTCTGAGGGACCCTCACAAAAACTAATAAGATTTTGTTAAAGTGTCTAAGTATTTTGTACACAAAGAATGACACAATTTTAATTATGTCTTTATAATAAAAATGTTATTTATAGTCGTTATTTGCACTCAAATTGTGAATAGTTCAAATGCAAGGTGATTTTTCATTTTAAGAATAAAAATACTTTTCTTTATCTTATAGTTTCATATAATCTCTAGAAACTCCTATATGAATATCAAAAGTTTGTTTAAAATAAATATTTATATTTTATTTTCTCCACAATATAACATACTCCACCTATTATCATCAATGTACAATACAATAAAATGATTAAAATAAGGAAATAAAAAATACCTTTTAATTTTTTGTAGAATATCTTTAAAGATATTGTTTTAATTATATTAATAATTTCGGGTCTTTTCATTTTCACATATAGTTAATTATTAATGTTTTATTTCCTTTCTTGTCATTTACCATTTATTCTACATCTCAACACAAATCAACGGTACCCTGTCAGCATATTATAGTGTCTCTAGCAGACATGTGCAGCCCTTCAAAATTTTCGTACACCACGTAAGCCTTGAGAACTGACCCAAAGTATGTTTAAAACATAACTAATACATAATTAACTAAAATATAAAAGTAAGGCCTAAATACTATTTAACTGTATCTCTAACTATAACATATTTAGGTAAGAAACATCTGTAAATGCTACAGTCAATCAAGCAGCTAACAATACTACAGTCAGTTACATTTACCCTGTGACTACAATTGCACACCAATTCCAAAACAACTGTTGTCAGATTATAGTGTAAAATGATCTTGTTCTAATGTCTATACACATGTTTGTAACATCTACATGTAGGCTATAAAGCTCAAACAAATCCATTGAAGGTGGGCATGGCACCTGTCAGGGATTGAAAAAATTTATTAGTTGTTTCAACTGCATTCAGTCAGAGATCTTTGAAATGTATGAGTCCAAAGGTTATGTACGTACATCTACACAACTACCATTGTGTTATTGAAGATACAGAATCCCAAAGTAGGGAATTTTTCTAGCTCATGATGACATGTCCTTTGACCCCTACCCATAGTGAAATGGTTAACACAAAATATTAATTCCTTGCATCCTCTTTTCATATCTCAACTCTACGTTAGTGAATACATCAAAATATTAATTCCTTGCATCCTCTTTTCATATCTCAACTCTACGTTAGTGAATACATCAAAATATTAATTCCTTGCATCCTCTTTTCATATCTCTACTCTATGTTAGTGAATACATCAAAATATTAATTCCTTGCATCCTCTTTTCATATCTCTACTCTACGTTAGTGAATACATCAAAAAAAATCTTAATAAAAACAGAAGTTACAAATGTGTTTGTTGTTAAAAGAAATGAAGCTATAGTCTTAATAAAAACAGAAGTTACAAATGTGTTAATTTCTAAGAGAAATCCAGGAAGTAATGTTAAAGCTAATAAAACTTACTTGTCTAGATAGAGTCTGGGAAAACTCAAGAGAAGAGTGCAAAGGAAACTCTTTATACTGAACTACGTAAAGAAAGTGAGGAGGAGAAAGGTAAATACAAATTAATATTTTGATGTATTCACTAACGTAGAGTTGAGATATGAAAAGAGGATGTAAGGAATTAATTTTTTGATGTATTCACTACAGTAGAGTAGAGATATGAAAAGAGGATGTAAGGAATTAATAGCTTCATTTCTTTTAACAACAAACATTTGTAGCTTCTGTTTTTTTATCAAGACTAGCTTCATTTCTTTTAATAACAAACACATTTGTAGCTTCTGTTTTTTATTAAGACTATAGCTTCATTTCTTTTAGCAATGAACACTCTCATATTGTTACTGAGATAATTATCTTATTGTTACTGAGATCACTCTCTTAGTGTTACTGAGATCACTCTCCTAGTGTTACTGATATCACTCTCATAATGCTACTGAGATCACTCTTATATTATTACTGTGATCACTATCTGATTGTTTCTGAGATCATTCTCATATTGTTACTGAGATCATTCTCATATTGTTTCTGAGATCATTCTAATATTGTTACTGAGATCACTCTCCTAGTGTTACTGAGATAACTCTTATATTGTTACTGTGATCACTATCTGATTGTTTCTGAGATCATTCTCATATTGTTACTGAGATCATTCTCATATTGTTTCTGAGATCATTCTAATATTGTTACTGAGATCACTCTCCTAGTGTTACTGAGATAACTCTTATTGTTGCCCAGATCATTCTCATATTGCTACTGAGATCACTCCCATATTGTTACCGAGATCACTCTTATATTGTTACTGAGATCACTCCCATACTGTTACTGAGATAACTCTTATTGTTGCTGAGATCATTCTCATATTGTTAATGAGATCACTTTCACATTGTTGTGCCTATTAACTCTCTTGCTTTGGACTCAGTAGATTTGACCAAGTTTGTGACCCCACATTGACCCTGAGAGTTTTCATACTATAACATTTTGTGTACCTTCACGAAATTTCCCAAGCTTTCAGTAAACATTACAAGCTTTTTGTAGCCAAAAAATTAGAATTCTTAATAAAGCATTTTTACTAAAAATGTATTCATGAACATTTGGAGTCAAAATGTTGACTGTTCTTATTGCAAAGTGATTTTCATGTTAAGATTGAAAATAGTTTTCTGCATCTCAAAATTTTCAAATTTCATTTGCATAATTTCTAAAACCTAAATAAACATAAAATGTTTTTCAGTAAAACTTTATATCTTAACTGTTATTTTCTCTACCCTAACTCTATGCGTATTCATTCAATTTGACTGACCTCATAACCACCAGAACAAAATACAAAACAAACCTAGCTTACCCTTTTGTCCTTTCTAGAATGACTGCAAACTGTTACATGAAATCACAATTGTTTATCCAAAATAGCTTAAAGCTCTTAACGGTATACACCTACTTATACTTAATTTCATTGAACCACGACTAACTAATAATCCCACCACAAAAGTTGTAAACCAATCAGCGAATGTGTAGCTCATGTTACTGTATTAGATTATGTAATGCATGAACTACTCACGAGCATACATCATGAAAAATATTTTTTTCTTCATCATCTTACCTAATCTAACCCGACAAGTTTCTAATTTTTACATTTTAGTTACTTTTATAATAATAATAAAGAAAGAATACCTGGGTCTTCTTTTTATTTGCTGATCACTGTCGATGAAACTTAAGCTTACTTTTGATACTAATGATACTACTATACAAAATTTTTCATTTAATTAAATAACACAGTTACAAACACACAATAATAAAAAATATGCAAAAAGCAAACAATGTCCTATAACTGTCATAATTTTCTGGCTTTCTATGCACTAAGAGCATTTAAAAATTCAGCTAAACCAGTCGATGTGAATCCTGTGAGAACAAATTTGAAAATGAAACAGGAAATACACAATTCTCTGTCTCTGTACACAAAACAATGTAATGTAATATGTCATTTGATAGATTAAAACTTTCGTTTCTATTGTTTATGAAAAATTGTGCATAAAACATCAGAGAACTATTGGCAATTTGTGAAAGACAGGATGTAACAGGTGGGCATGGCAAGTGGGTGTGATTTTCTAGTTTAGGCTCTGTAAACAAACAAGATTGAAGGCTATAAAAATTATGCTTTGCTTGAGTAATATATATATATATATTATAACGAGTAATTTATGTTACATTCCATACTTCTCGGAGGGATGGAAAATAAGAAAAGTGGGAAAACCTGGAGAGCAATTGTCACAATTCTAACACTAGGGGAGATTGAGGATTATTTAAAATATTTTCTTATGTTATTAAGAACTCAAAACTTAGATAATATTAAAAGTTCATTCATTAACTATGTTTCGAGGCAAAGTTTATTCATATACAATGATAATAAAGTAGTTTAATTAAATTTTGAATGTAACTCTATAAAACAGTTCTGACATACACACTTTAACCTACCCTTAGTGAGAGGGTTAACAATATTTGATATCTTGTGGTTGCATTCTAATATTTTAAAACATTTTCTCAGATTACTGGTACAAATACACCTAACAAGGAAATAAAAACATTTCAACAAGGTGTTCAACTTTTCTTGTATGATTACACATACCCATGTTTAAACAATAATTAAAATAACAATTATTGTAAATAATTTCATTTGTTGTCAAGGATGTTTATTATAATCATCCTACTTTGTGATGACTGTTACACATGACAGGACAGAAAGAGAGAGAAATGCGACCCAAACAACAACGGTGCAATAGAATGAATGTCATAAACCTAACTAGCCTGCATGAAATAGTCTAAGCCAACAATAGTCGAATATTTGCCATTAAAATTGACCCATCAATTTGTACATGATGTTAGTTATGTGGTGATTGATCTTGGCACGGGGGATTTTTAGTGACATTTTGGGCCCCATTACTAAATGTTGTGGAGTCCATTGTTGTGCATGTAATGGGTAATAAGGTCTGTAAGTACAGACTCTTTGTTCTCATTAGTATAATCTTAACGAACTGGTTCGTGGTATTGAGAAATTTTACCAGTTATTTCTGAAGTGTTTATGCTGAAGATGAAATTAGGAAAATTCTCAAAAATCCACATTGTTTAATCCAATCAACAATTTTGTGATTTTAGATTTCCATTAAATGAGTGAGCTTATTTTAGTAATGTGTCACCTGTTTATTTACAGACAGCAGCACATAGTTACTGATAATTGTTGTTGTCAACTCAAAGTAGTCCTATTTTATGACTAAATTTTTGTAGAGAGTGTTTTTTGTGAAACCCAAGATAGACAAAATGATAGTGTGTGTCATCGATAAAATCAGGATGTGGGAGCAATGGGGTTTGACTTTCAAGAACCCAAATCTAAAACTGATGGTAAAAATCACACTATGCAATTTGTTTTTAAGCATTCCTTTTCAACGGTTTGCCCATTATGGATTTCAGATCTATCTTGCGTACCTCACAAGAGTTTGTCGATGAAGCCTATCTCTCAATAACATGATTCATCAGACAGGTTGGACTGTGACAGACAAAAGTCTTAAACATTACTTATAGATATACATACAGTACAAAAACTTAAAAATTTAGATGTTGAAAGCTAGTAGAAAAAATTAAAACCATCAGACCTGTTAGCTGTTTTTCTCTTGCTTTTTTAAATAATTATAATGCTAAGGAAAATATTTTTATCATTTCCTATAAAAGTATTAATACGAAAATGTACTTTCTTCAAATATCATGGATAAAATCTTGAGGAAATAATGAAAGACAAACAAATTTTATTAATTTATGGAAATAAAAACTGTGCTTAGTTTAGTATCTAAAAAAACAACAAAAACTTTGGCCAAAATATCAGGAAATAGGGATCATAAAAACATTTCTTTATGTTTATAATACAAAGATTAATTATACCTGTTTCTGTAGAAATTTAGCCATTCTTTCTTCATCATCCATGTCCAATTTCTCTTTTTTGGACACAGCTTCTTGTCTGCGAATGGTTTCTGGATCTCTGTCTATATATCTAGTATAGAAAAGTTTTATGTAAAATATATTTTGTGAATACTTGTTACAACATGTTTTCAGAAAGACTCAGGTCATTCCACAGTTAAGATCCCCGTAAACAAAGTGTGGATGAATAAAATTAAGCAGTACAAAACAAATCAAACTACATAAATACAATCTGTCTTGAATTTCAATACACTTTGTGAGAATACATAGCAGTAAATTAAATTAAAACTTTTTGTTGTCTTGAGTATTAGATTAATAACAAAAATGCATAATAAACTTAAGTACAGACTTAATTTATCTTTAGTTATCTCACACACGCAGCTCTATCAAATAAACCACAGAATTCTGTTAAAAACTCTCACACACGCATCTCTATCAAATAAACCACAGAATTCTGTTAAAAACTCTCACACACGCAGCTCCATCAAATAAACCACAGAATTCTGTTGAAAACTCTCACACACGCAGTTCCATCAAATAAACCACAGAATTCTGTTAAAAACTACTTTTTTTTAACTACCAAAGAATATTTTATTAATTGTATTATATATGAAATTATAGGTTCACAAATTTTCAAAATCTTTAAAGTTTATTATATAATCCACCCATGTCAGATTTCTGTTTGTAAAGGAGCTAAAAAAGCAGGTTTTTTAGTTTGCTTTTTAATAGCCTATTTTAATACATAATAATATGCAAATAAATTTGTGCAAGTAATTAAAAATATATGGCAAAAAATGGTTTACATAAATTAACTTGGGAAAATTACAGAAGGGGTTAAAATGATTCTGGAGCCTTATCACATGTTGCCATATATGGTCATGCTCTAACTGACAACAATGCAACTTTACTGTAATAAAGTTGCACTGTAGCACTGTCAATTTCAGTCATAAAACACTACCATTTCAAAAGCATACTACTCTTCCCTGCTGCTTTCCATAATCCACCTGGAATAAGAAAATGGTGGTTTTCAACTGCCCATTTCCTGCATAGTGGAAATTTATAGGTGCTACATCCTTCAATTTGACCAGTATATCTTCATACAGACTATTATAAGTATCTATTTCATTCTCCAGCTACTTGAGGTATATGATGGTTGAACAGATGTGTCGTGGAAACAGCTTTTTCTGATGGAAATCCTTCTTGATTATGTTGCATACTGTTGCCTGGGGCAGCTTTTACCACTGATCTTTCTAACCTGTTACAATATGCCATAATTTCCTTAGCATGGCTGGGGTACAACTTGTTGTAGATCTCTTTCTGGATGGGCATATTTCTTTCATTCTTTGTTCTCCAGTGCAATTAAGTACAAAGGATACCCCAATCTTATAAATTCTAAATCTATGATCTGAACACATATTTATGGCCAGGGTGTAAGAGAAATTTCCACCAGAAAGAGCTGTTACGTTCATTTCTCAAAACCAATATATTTTCTGTTACATCCCCTTACCCTTAAATTTCAAAATGTAGTTCGGACACATGCCATTTTATATGGCTGTAGCTGTCATATGACTTGCTGACTTGCATATAATTTTACTATCAAAGTACTCCATAAACACCCTTAAGATATTTCCGTGAATGACACACAATTTTAGGATTACATTTTAAAGTGGTGAAAATAAAGGGAAAGTAATCATTTTATAACCTATCCAGTTTTATTGTGGTTGAAATAGGTTTGATGGGTATTAACCTAAGACTATTCAGTTCAATGAAGTGAATCATTAATATTCTGGCTAAGTCTGTTCGAATATGTACATTAAAAATGGTATAATTACTTATCCAAGTCAAATAAATTGCACAAAACATAATACATATCAAAGTATAAATTTAAATATATATATATATATATTTTTGTTGTTGTTGTTATTATTTTAGTACAAAACTACACAAAGGGATATCTGAACTCTGTCTGCCTCTAGGAATCATCCTTTATTTTTGTACTGCTGATCCACTAGAGGGCTTAACTATATACACAAATAATGTAAGCACAGTACAATCAACCAACTAAATTCTTGAACACCGAAATAACATATCTTCTGCAATGATTCAGACCTTTAGTTAGGACTATTTATGTTTATATATTAGATTGTCTGTACTAGCATAACAAATATTAGAAATCACTTAACTGTACTTTGATATTACATTTTCTTTTAGCATTAACATAAACAACTCATATTCTGTGCACATTAAAAATGTTTAATTTATCTTACCTAAAATATATAACTGTCATGTACTACTGAACAGTAAAACATATAGGTCTATCCCATTAAATTAGGAAATAGGATTTCTATATACATGTCTACAGGTCTGTAAAGCTTTGCTATATGTCGACGTTGTCACTTTATAAGAATATGCAGAAAAAGTCTGTTTTTTTGTATCTTCAGATTCAATTTAAAAACGTTATAAGTTCTGCTTAAAGTAAAACAATAAAAACTTACGTAATAAACCACCCTTTTTCTGTCTCATCAACAGTACAGTGCCCCTCTCGGCCAAGCCATTTGACAAAATCAGTCAAAGTTTCCCACTGAGTAGAATTCATGTGAAGATGGTCTCGATCAGCGATGTATTCTTGATATACTTGGTTGGCATGGATACGCTTTGTCCCTGAAACATAGATAGTTACACACCTCGGCTAGTAATATATAAACTAAATACGTATAGAACTGAACCATATTTAAACTTGAAACCAACTAAATATGTATAGAAGTGAACCATAGTTAAACTTGAAACCAACTAAATATGTATAGAAGTGAACCATATTTAAACTTGAAACCAACTAAATACGTATAGAACTGAACCATATTTAAACTTGAAACCAACTAAATACGTATAGAACTGAACCATATTTAAACTTGAAACCAACTAAATATGTAATGAAGTGAACCATATTTAAACTTGAAACCAACTAAATACGTTTAGAAGTGAACCATATTTAAACTTGAAACCAACTAAATATGTATAGAACTGAACCATATTTAAACTTGAAACCAACTAAATACGTATAGAACTGAATCATATCTAAAAGTTATTTAAGTTCTTACCAAATCTTCTCTTCAAAAGCTCCATAAAAGTGTTTAAGAATTCTCTAAAAATAAAATAAAATAAATTTTTTGAACTAAAAAGAAAAAAGCCATCAACACTATGAAGATAACACATTCAAAAATATGTCACATATAACACATTATACATTAATAAAATAAAGTAAAACAACTAGGGAATATCAAGTCATGATATATTTTATACCATAATTATAGTGTTGGTGTTATGTAACTCCTACAATTTTCTTTCATACATGTCTAATTATAGTGTAGGGGTTATGTAACTCCTACAATTTTCTTTCATACATGTCTAATTATAGTGTAGGATTATGTAATATTAGCTATTACAAGGTTTTCACTATTGTGATTCACAACACGGAGCTAATCTTTTATTTGATCAACAGATGAAAAGAATGGCATCTCTATGAACACCTACTTGTACAAGTTTTTGTGTTATAAGTGTGTGTGTTTGAATTGTTTGTTGATTATATCCAGTTACCATTTTATTTTAAGTAAACAAAGTTGTTTTCATCCAAATTAACTTCATCCTTTCTTTTCGTTCCATGTCTTTCTATGCTATGATTGTAATTAACTCAAAAGTCTTAAAGAAATCCCTAAAAATAAAATCAATGAACATTACCCAAAAGACACAATATCAATTTACATTTTTAAACAGTTGGTTGAAACTTTCCAAACCTAAAATCAATTAGATAAGAAAATAACTGACCAGTAAATATAAAAGTACAAACATCATTGTGTTGTAGTTTGCACAATAGCTTCAGCACATGTGATATACATTAGGTCTATGTTTATATTGTTATTATTTACAGACAGTTCATGTGATATACAATAGGTCTAAGTTTATACTGTTATTATTTACAAACAGTTCATGTGATATATATTAGGTCTAGGTTTATAGTGATCTTATTTATGAACGTTTGACATGACATACATTAGGTCTAAGTTTATACTGTTATTATTTACAAACAGTTCATGTGACATATATTAGGTCTAGGTTTATAGTGATCTTATTTACGGAAGGTTGACATGATATACATTAGGCCTAAGTTTACACTGATCTTATTTATGAACGTTTGACATGATATACAATAGGTCTAAGTTTATACTGTTATTATTTACAAACAGTTCATGTGATATATATTAGGTCTAGGTTTATAGTGATCTTATTTACGGAAGGTTGACATGATATACATTAGGCCTAAGTTTACACTGATATTATTTATGAACGTTTGACATGATACACATTAGGTTTAAGTTTATACTGTTATTATTTACAAACAGTTCATGTGATATATATTAGGTCTAGGTTTATAGTGATCTTATTTACGGAAGGTTGACATGATATACATTAGGTCTAAGTTTATACTGATGTTATTTACAGATGGTTTATGCAATATACATTAGGTCTAAGTTTACACTGATCTTATTTATGGAAAGTTGATACAATATACATTAGGTCTAAGTTTACACTGATCTTATTTATGGAAAGTTGATACAATATACATTAGGTCTAAGTTTACATTGATCTTATTTATGGACGGTTGATGTGATATATATTAGGTCTAACTTTTTACTGATCTTATTTACGGACGGTTGAATTTCCTTACTTTAGAATTACCATCATGTTTTAATAAAGAATTTTCATTTCAGCCAATTTTCTAAAATTTTATTTTTTAGGAATCATGTCAAACTATTTTATGAATGTTAATGTGGCCTGAATTCTGAGGTTCATTATAATACATCTTACATTGTAGTGGAGCATGTTCTAACTGGCTTCAAGTAAAATTAGTTATGTACATGTATATACTGTCTACTAACTTTTCCTAATACATTCTTGTTGGCTAATTTTCATAAGAATTACACATTTCAACTAACATCCAACAAATAGTTCTACACATTTTATAGTTTCTAAACAATGTTGAATTGTTCACTAACGTGTTAGAATAGATCAAAAAAGTTCATATATACCGGAAAAAAAACTTTTACACATTTCAACTAACATCCAACAAATAGTTCTACACATTTTATAGTTTCTAAACAATGTTGAATTGTTCACTAACGTGTTAGAATAGATAAAAAAATTCATATATACCGGAAAAAAACCTTTTACACATTACTGAAACAGTTGGTAAATACAGAATAAAATTCCTGTTACAAGTGTTATCTGATACTAAATATGTATTGTACAGAACGCAGAGAAAACACATTAATCAA